CTTATCGATTCCCCGTTTCGATTCCAAAATTGTAAAATAAAGAGGTCAAACGTTTAGATAACACAAATATATGTATTCTTAAAAGCTTTAACTGAAATTGTTACTAAAAAATATACATGCAATACAAATGTATTGCACAATAGTTGTGCTTTATTTTAACGGAGCTATGCCTGTGGCAAGCTATTAACAGGCATTACACTTTGCCTTTTCTTTTTCTTTTTTAGTGTAGTGGAGCCTCACTTCAGAGTGTTTACCGCGACCTATCTTTGGTGTTATGAAGTGACTGAGCTCGTGAAATGTCTACGGGAGGGCGGGGGAGCATCGCTGCGGGGCAACTGTGGACCTCTGTCGCCTGTCAGCGCAATTTATATGATGCCGTTTAAAAAAATGAAGGGCAGTGCCGGCCGTCAGCGTACCGAGCCGGCCGTCAACGGCCCGCTGACGACCGGCCGTTCTGTGATTCTCCAGGTCCGCCCTGTATTCCACCGGGTCACCGCAGCACCGCGGTGCAGACGGACCCGCTGGAATACAGGGTCTACCGCGTTTAGGAACCGTTAAGCAGAACCGAAATTGTGTATTTTGTATGGGTACCCGGTACCCGGCATTTTCTTATCGGTTCTCATCTGGAACCGAGTTTCGGTTCCCAACCCTACTATTTTCAATTGGTTAGTATTACATTTTGTGAGAGTGTGGTGACACTCATTTTAATGAAGACAAATGTGTGTATCTTGAAATTCATTTATTTGACAGAGCTGGAAACTGATACATACTTGTTTGTGTTTACCTACACAGTCATCACAGATGAGCCAAACAGAGTAGAGGATGAAGAAAGGAGAACAGGAGAAAGGGACACACAAGAAGGAGAAACAACAGACAAGAACGACAATGGAGACAACAATGAACAGGAACACCAGAACAGACAAGAATCAATGGGTAACATGACTGATTTAGGGACTGCAGATACAGGGTCAAGGCAAGTGAGACATCACTGCTTTCCATCCAGCATGTTTGGCCAGCAAAAGAGATCATTTCAACCGCAAACAGCAAGTGATGAGGGATTATTATTTCCTCCTTCCATCCCTTTTTTCTGTTTAATCTGATTACTAACTACTTCTAATAATTTGACATAGTTTATGATTTAATTGGAAAATGAAGTGTTTTTAAATAATAAACCCGTTTCTGATTCTGATTCTTTGATTTCTTTTTGACATATGGGTGTTGAGAGATGTATCCATATCTCTTAATGTTGCTCTCAAAGTGCACAAGATTGATGCTTTTAACTTCAGTATTTAAAAAAGTCTTCCTGGGGGCCCCCCCCAGAGGAGGTGAGTTCCCCCCAAAATAGCACTTTATCTCTGCTTATGTAACTCCGGTGTAGTGTCCCCTCGGCAACAGATCACTCAGAGCTGGTGATTACTTTCCTGCATTTCAATGGACAGCATATAAAAAGGACACGTGAGCTGCATTGCTTAAGAGATCCTCTCATGCTATCTCTTTTACAAAATAAGTGTCCAGTCAACAACAAAACATCAGTGATCGTATAGTGGTAGTATATTTTTCACAAGCAATGTGAAACATTAAACTTATACAAACTGGTGTACAAAACTCACATACCTGCGTTGATCTCCTGGAGAGTCTCTACTCTTTCTTCTCCACATCTCTTGTCCACCATCAGAGATTGCAAACATTTCAGAAACAGCTAGAGGTAGGAGACAAACAACTTGTTCGCTGGGCATGTCAAAAACCTCCCTGCTTTGATCAAGACTTTAGGGAGCCTTTCAGCCCCTCTAGTAAAGGGACTGGAAAGCAAGCTTTGCAAATTCAGTACCATCTACATGCTTGTCCTGTTCCAGACACTGCTCTCAACCACTCAGGGCCTGCACAAATACCTGCAGAAAGAAACAATTGACTTGGTGCAGGCAGTAGATTACAAAACAGCAGTTGAGAACACACTGAAAGTTACCAAAGTAACGAGAAAGCACATGAGGTCTATGACAAGACCAAGGCCCTGTGCAATGATCTTGATATTCCCGAAACTGAGACACAGAGGAAGAAGCGTAGAAACATGGAAGACTTTGTAGTCAAGGCATCATGTGGAGCAATGTGAAACATTAAACATAAATAAACTGGTGTACAAAACTCGCATACCTGCATTTAAATGGACAGCATCAAAGGACTCGTGAGCTGGGTTCTGGTGCTCAGATTAGATGTTGATGATCACGTTGATAAATCATATAAAACAAATAGCCAATCTCACAAAAAACATGTTGCTGTGACTGTGAGCATTAAACAATTAACATTAAACTAAACAAACACAACAGTACGTTATTGTCCTTATAAAATAAAAACATACATTTTGTCCACCGAGATAATACAGGCACCTTACCCTCAAGAGATCCTCACGTGCTATGAGAGTCTCCCACAATCCATTGCCGTAACAAAGCTAATGCAGGCACACGTTTGTGACACCAGATGGCGCAATTGTGTATGTGCGTGTGGGGAGTCTTGCAGTAGAAAATGTGACTGGAGCGCCGCCACTGTGGGCTAAGCCCCGAATGTTTCCAGGTCCAGGCGACGCCCCTGGTTGCAACAGCAGCTATTTAGGCTAAATGCTAACGTCCACATGCTAACATGCTCATAGTTACAATGCTATCTTGTGGATATTAAGAAGGTAATAGCTTGCTCTCCGTTTTAATTTAGCATGCGTGATTAAACTTTTGACAAATAGCACTGAACACAAACCACGTCTGAGGCTGTAATGTTATTCATTTTGTAGGTATTGGCTCATAAATCAAATAAATGACAAATATAATTGCATGGTTCCCAGAGGATGAGTCCTACTAATTCTAATGTTTTTAAGAGATTCGCTTCAGCATTTAACAGTTACTGTCTAGATTCAAGATGATAATCATTAAGTCAATGGGATCATGGATGCCTCTATTTAGACCATCCATCCAATAGTTGTTGAGATATGAGGGGGACCAAACAACAGTGACATCCGAGTTGTAAAATATATGACTATTGATTGGTTTTTATTGATTCAAGATTTCTGGAGTAATGTCGCAAGTAGACAGTATATGTGATTGACCTGCATACAAAAATGCCTGTTATTGCCATGACATGTACATTGTAAAGTATTTACTCTAAAACCTGAGCCTGATTCATGTTTAAATGAACAAAGTCAGCATTTTAAAGCGCCCTGCAAACATTTAGCCTCCTTAAAAAAAGTAGAGCACATTTTATCCCCTGTTTTTATTATTAGCAGAGTTCTGTGTGCTCTCGCTGTGTTTTTCCCCAAGATGAAACATTTGTCATTGTTAAACTGTGTTCAGGGACAAGAGCTGAAATGATTGTGTGAAGTAATGAAACCATTAATGTGGCAAAGAGTGGCCTCCTGCTGTGTGGATGATTTTAGAGTAATTCTGGGGTTGGGCCCACATTCTCGCTCGCACACACACATTCATTTTGTAAAGGAAATTGAGGCCTTTTATTTCAGAAAAAGACTAGATGGATGAACAGCTTCAGACACACACACACACACACACACACACACACACACACACACACACACACACACACACACACACACACACACACACACACACACACACACACACACACACACACACACACTTAAACACACATTGTTCCTTTTTTGGGATCTGAGCTTATTCATGAGTCTTATTATGCTGAGGTTTTCAGGTTTCTCCTTTTGATGTGTCATTGTGTTTCTCTATAGCCTATTAGGTGGTTTTCTTCTTTTCTGAGTAACGTTTCATGAACACCCCCCAATACACCCTCACACACTCCCACAGTATTCCTTTTGGCACTAATGATGCCATGTTGTGCATTTGTCTGAATTTTCTGAAGTTGCTCCAGCAGGTTTATACTCGGAGCTGACTGATTCCAGATTTTTTGTGAAGCCGAATCATGTTAGGTTGTGCGTGAGAAGAGCCAGCCGTTTGTTAATTTGTTTTGAGGTTTGTTTGTTTTACTCATCCGTGTGAGAGGCAGCAGCAGAATCCGAACAGTATGTGTTTATTGTATAAATGCAGTTGTTAATATTAGGGGATGAACACGTTTCCTTAATATTTCTCTGGTATTATACATCAAATTTGACTTTAGATATTTTATATATTCACAGTGGTGTAAAGTAGCCAAGTACATTTACTCAAGTACTGTACTTAAGTACAATTTTGAGGTACTTATACTTTACTTGAGTATTTCCATGTTATGCTACTTTGTAATTCTACTCCACTACAATTCAAAGGTAAATCGTGTATTTCCTTCCACTACAATAATGTATTACCTTTAGTTACTTTGCAGATGTGGATTAATTATAACAAAATTCTGAAATGGGCCAATCTGCAGCGAGTACTTTTACTTGTAGTACGTAATATGTTGATGCTTATACTTTTTGTTGAGTAACATGTTGAATACAGGACTTTCTACTTTTACTTAAGAACAAGATCAGAGTACTTTAGCCATATCTCAAATCCTTGTAAGTTCTGAAAATAGTTTCAAGTTCAATAAATAACCAGGTTTTAATATGCATTTAAGGCTGTTTTCAGACTTATTGAACTCAATTACCCTCCCACCAGTACCACTAATAAAGGCCCTGACACACCAGGCCGATATCGGCTGTTCTCGTAAGTCGGGAGACGAAGCGTGTCCTGTCGCCCAAACTCAATTCGGTGTGTCCCGCACCGTCGACCGTGACACGCCTTATTTGGACTGCCTGTCCCGATGCATGGCCGATTCAACATCGGGTCTGGCAGTCGGACCAAACAATCACTCTGATTGGCTGTTCAGCTAGCGAATCAGTGCATGAGAAGCGAAACGGAAGTGAGGGACGTAAACAAACGATTTAAGAAGGCACACACAGACTGATATTCATTTTCATCTCATCATGGCGATCTGGAATGACGGAAACGAAGACCTGCTCATCACCTTGATCCAGGAGAGGCCAGCTCTGTACGACATCATAGAGAAAAGGTACTCGAACCGAGTAGTGAAAACCGGACTCTGGCGAGAGATTGAAACGCAACTTGGTTTCTCGGGTAAGATTATATTTTTCATCAATTGAGCTCTTTAGCAGATATTGTTGGCTTTTTATTGTTTGCCAGCGTACAGTGACGTTAACGTGAAATGTAATTTGTTATTTCAACATTGTGTTTTGTTGTTATCTTGTTGCTAGCTGTTGCTAGCTGTGCAGTTTGGCACTGCATATAGAATATGAATTGGACATGCTAACTAGCCACAATGCTTACATCGTTTATTTGTGTGCTTCAGAGAAAGAGCTGAGGAAGAAGTGGGATTCTCTGCGAACCCAGTACACCCGGTACAGGAGACTTGCCCCTTCGGGTAGCTGTGGAGCACCAAGGACTGGCAGACAGCAGTGGATCATAACCAGGCTGCAGTTTGCACACGCTATTTGTTTTTGTTTATATCACGCAGTCTGTTCTTCTTCTCTGTCTTCCGGTTGTTGCCTATTTTTAATGACGAATACACACTACCGCCGCCTGCTGGTAAGGAGAGTTATTGCCACTCACGCACTGAAGTCTTTGCGGTGTGTTCCCGTGCGACACATGGCCAAGACGCAGGAGAACACGGCGACGCAACAGTCGGCGTCGGCGAGTCCTCTGGTGACTGCTTGGTGTGTCAGGGCCTTAACATGCATCTATAACCCACAATCCTCTAATTTGCCCAAATAGTTTGAACGACACATGATCTCCAAATGCTTTCAGTCCATTGATTCACATGTTGCAGCTACAGGCCTCGGCTTTGAATCCCACTTTGGCTTCCGCCTCATTCCCCATGCAAGATGCATATGCAGATTGCACATGAGCCCTTGTGAAAATAAAGGCACTTGTGGTGAGGGGGTCTGAAAAGTCTCCTGAAGTGGTAGACTCTGCGGCCTAATTAACATGCCATAGGTGTTAATTGGCAGCTGGCAGCAGTCAGAGCATGCAGCAGGTGAGCACCAGCGCTCGTTGAACTCAGTTGCACTGAATGGCACGAGGAGTCACTGGAGGTTTATACGGCAGAGATTTGCAAATCAATGCTCACGGCTGGAGGTTAATTTGGATGTGGAGAAGTCTGACATCATGTTTCCAACCTCATTCAGGAGGTTAAATCACCATTTTCCCTGCTTTTTTGTTTTGTGCCCATAGAATTGGATTATATTAGAATCTGATCATTTTACTACAGTGGTGTGTGAGAGCTTTTTTCTCATTTAGAAAATCAATGTTTAATAAGGCATGTTGGTGTTGATAGCTTCATAATTTAAGTTATTTTGAACGTTATCACTTTAAAGTCACTTGTCAGTAAAAGGTGATAATTTGTTCCCAGCAAAGTGAAGCCTCCTGCCTGACAGAGGATTAGCAGACTCCCATTAATAATGGTAGGTAATAAGAAATGCATGTGGATTATTGAAAATGCTTCAGATAATCCAGCTGTTATTAAATCCATTAAACACACAGGTTCCCATATTAACCTAATTACTTTTATAATACGAAATTGTACTGAGCCTCAAATGCATTGTTTTTTTTTCAGGTGACTATTAATTTAGCTAAACTAGACTTAAAGGCATTGTTTATCATTCAATGTAACTGATTTAAAAGAGTAATTTCCCATAAAGAATGAGCAAATGCTTCAAAATTAAAACATTGTGTCCTTTCAAAATTAAATCATTTTTTCAAATAAAAAAGTTTAAAAGTTTGTATTAATAATGAAACTATAAGGAGGTTATCCCCCTCTTTAAGTTTAAGAGCCTGAACTTTTTTAAAGTTGTCCTGTTTGTCTTTATTTAATTGTTAAGAAGCTCTAAAGCTCTACCTTTTTCGGCGGCAGCAAACCTCTCTTCTCCTCCGCCCCTCGGGTGGGGGGGGGGGGGGGGGGGGGGTCGTGGCCGTGGCCCACATTCCCTCCCAGCCTCCCGCGGACCCTGAGCGATCTAAACCTGACCAGTCAATTAGAAGAGCAAACTAGATGTAACCAAACACAGCATCGCGTGCAGCTCTGAGCCAATAAACATCCACGCACGCGCGACATAACAGTCTGCACCCGGGATTACTGAGCAGGGTTTACTCATTACTTTAGAATACACATTACAAAAACGCTTAATTTCTCTGTGATAGGTTTCAATTGATATGTATTGATTTTTTTTCAATTGGTCTTATTTAGACTCTTATAGCATGTATTACTATGACTTCACTCTATGACGCTCCCACACATTAAAACAATTCGTTTGGAGAAAAATAGTAACTAAACCTTTACATCAAAAATGTAATTATTTGAAAAACAATGTTTTGGCTAACCTAACAAAAGCTGTAAAGATCCTTACAGTTATACTTAAAGTAAGTTAAGTACTTAAAGGGCTACTTTGATTAGGTTTTGTCTGACATCAAACATAAAAATGTACTTTTATTTCACCTTTGGAAAAGCTAAAATAAAATGAATATGCAAATAATTTTCATTTAAAAGGTTGATTTTGTAAAACTCTGCATGCATGAATTTCTAATGAAACTCAATAGGCTGCACAAGTTATAATTACACAATCATTATGTTCCAATTATTCCCTAAACTGTTTTTTAAAGACCAAGTGTTTTTGTTTCCTTCACTGAATCTGTTATTTTCGTTTTAAATAAATATGATATAATACATTTATTATTATTAATATATGTCTGTAGGGCATATCATATATTATTATTATTATTGTTGTTGTTGTGACCATGCTTATGACGATGGACAAGTTTGCAGGCTGCATTATGAGCCTTTATTCGATGTGTGTCCCTTTTGCCACGTTACAGTAAGTGAGATTAATCCATATTGAGAAAGATGATACATAAAGTTGTAATTAAAACAATCATTTAAATACACATGACATGAGATCAGCATTGAACAAAGCTTTTTTGGCAATATTAAAAGTTATTCCACTATAGTTGATATTTTGTGAAGGCCTCCTTGAAGCATCAGGCACGGACATTTGCTGACAGTCTGAATTTGAGAGAATCGTATATTCTTTCCCAAATCAATCTAACAAACAGATAAATAAATACAAAATATTCAATTTTCACAGTTATTTTCCCCTTACTAACATTATGTTGAAGTGATTTACAGTGCTTGGGACCTGTCATAATATTATCCCGTGTCAAAAAGCAGTAAAAGTGTATCATTGTGGCTGTTAAACCCCGCAGACCTACAGCTCTATTGGGTTTGTTCTCCTTTGTGAGGCTTTGATGTGAGAATGGAGTCGCAGAGTGTGTTTGGTGGTGAAGGGGAACAGCTTCCTCAGCTTTGGGGCAAACACACTCGTTTCTTTCATCAATGAGCCTACCTCCCACCACGACCCAGCCCCACATGGAGGCTCCCCAAAACATATTTAGTTCTCTCCATGGGAAAACAAAACATCAATTTTTAAACATATTTTTCATCAACTTGACTGTTTTGCATTAATATTTAACTTGTGATGGTACAGCCAAGCTACACAGTTTAGAGCTCTCTGCTCTCCAGCATGAGGGATAAATACATCTGTTCAGCCACTCTAGGTGGCGAGTTAAGTCAATTTATTGCAACATTTTGCCAATCCCTTTGCACGGAAGGCATTGTTTCTTTTTTGTTTTCCTCCGCAGGGCATTATGAATAATTAGAGGCCAAACTCACAATCCTGCTTAAGGGAACACCAGGAAAGAGCCGCTCTGTGTCTAATGCCAAACCATAAACCATAAGCAGCTGCGAGCGATCAATAATTAATATACACCGGTCTATGGCCGCTGGTTCCCGGCATTGGTGCTTTAGTGGAAAACCGTAAGGAGAAAATGAAGTAGGCTATTAAGATGCAGCAACAAGGTGACAAAAAAATGGGGAAAGTTGAAAACGTTACCAAAGTAAGTTTACCCTCCTTTGAATACAATTATTAATACACAAAGGATATTTATTATTTTGTTTAGGCTCGGTCGAAGTGGGGTTCATTCATTACTTAGCTTTCTTTGCAGTTGGTTAATCTATACAAAAAAAAATGCATTCTGTACTCATCATAAATTATTCACAAATATCCAAGTAAAGTCGCCAAAACAGTAGACAGAAAATAAAACAATGTTAATCCCTGAATTGCAATGGGCTTTAATATACATTTTTAAGGATGATAAAAGTACCTTAACTGCACTGAGAATTTTTTTTAATATAATATACATGTGTACCCCCCATAACAAACGGGCTGCTGAAGCCATGAATTATTTGAAAAAGAACAAATATACGAATATATCTTCTTATTTTAAACTCAATATTAATAAATAAAATATGGTTGATGGTTGAATAGTGCTTTTGTTTCAAGGACATAAAAACGAAAATAACTTCTTAAAAAATTATTAATCTAGACTTGCTTAACAGAGAAATGCATCTAATATTTTTCAATTATGTTTTGTTGTTTTCAAGTTTAGGGAATTTCCTAAAATCAAACGTCCAGGAGAAGGGCATCCCAGCATTCTTGGCTCGGCTCTCTTCTGAAATGCTAAACTCTTGTAATCAGGCCGAGTTTGCACTGAAGTCCTCCAGTTTACCTCAGCTGAACCAAATGAGCCTGTGACTGCTATTTATTCAATCATTCTTACAAAACGCTTAATCATCATAGAGATCATTTAAAAATGGCACACCTACAGATTTAGGAATTACCAGCAAGACAAGCTATGTTTCTGGTGTTTTACTCAGGAAACTGTTTATAAAATAGGAAAATAATAATATTCCCATTATTGTAAGGTTACAAAAATGATGACGCTATTCAAATGTAAGATTATGTCGCCCCCCCCCCCCCCCCCCCCCCCCCCGATCACTCGCGTGTTTATACACAAATACCCAGCCTTTTAAGAAGTTTAATTTGGAATGTATTTATTTTAATTGCATTGTGGGAAAGAAAACACAGTGGAGTTTAAAGAGATTTCATTTCAAGTGTCAAAAGGTGTTTCCTGACAGAAGGCAGTGATGTGTCTGTTCCTCACATTAAATGACACAAGCAAAGATCACTTGGTGGATTGTTCCCCTAAAAAGAGAAAGAAGTGTTCAGATGTGGCTGAGAAGTTAGAATAACTTGAGAAGTGAGAGTTTTACTGAGTTCTCCAGACACACTGCTTCAGTGCGTGCATGGTGATGTTTGCAGGCTGTGACAAAGCATCAGGACATTCCTGTTTTCCCCCCGGCCGGCCGATCTGCAGTCTGCAAGAAGAAACGTTCCCAAGATGTTTATCGGTGAAATGATCCAGTCGGTGCAGTCCCGGTGATGACTGCGGGCCATGTGATCTGTTCCTGCCGCCGAGCAGCGTCCTACAGCCGGCTGCTCGACTGAGAAGATAAGGTGCGTTTGGGAAATGTTTGTTTCTGTGTTTAGTCACATTTAATGACAACATAAACTTATCTGGAAAACCATAATGAATGGCCATTAGAACTACAAAGGTTTCCAAATGGTGCGCGTTCAAGGGAATATTTTAGTGTCATATCAAAATTACATCTCGAGTAAACCAATTTTCTCCACACAGGAATAAACACAGACTCAAGTGAACCGCAGAGATCAAGCTCAGGGAATATCACAAAGTGTTTTCCAAACTGCAGCAGACTTCTTGAGCAATTAAGAGCGCTTGGCTCTGAATGGTAAAGGAAATAGCTTTCCTTGCTGTTAAATGTCACCAGAAACTCGCCCGGGGCATAAAGTGACCACTTTGTTTTTGTTTAGAGAGCTTAAATCCCTCTCAGTTACAAGCATGGTGATATCACTGCAGAGCGGGGGTCAACCCAAAGTCTGCACTGTGGCCAGTTACATTTTACCCTAAATAAAATATATTTAGGGTAAAAAAAAAAATATATACATCTTTAAAATAATAATAATAATGGTTTAACTTGGCTGGAAATTGCTATTTTTCAATTCAAACATTTATTTTTGATATACCTCTATAATTGTGTATGTCTTTTTGACGTACAATTATCTTCATTTAATTTGCTCAATACAACCAATGATCTTAACTTTGACCCTAAGGGCAAAGGTTGACCTTTGTTCTCCCTTTAGCCCAAATGTATATACAATTATCATGATTATAACATCTGAAAACAGATTTAAAATTGTGCAAAAAGTTGAGAACTCTTTGCCATTATAAGGAATATTTAATTTGTGACAAGTTACTTTATTGCACAAGAAAAAAGAGAAATAAATTAATCCAGATCCAGATTGCGATGAGACATAATCACATGTAAGTATTCACAATACTTTTCGATTTTGGAAGGCCCAAAAGTCCTTATTTTTAATATATTGTATTGCACCTACTGTTTTGATTTATTTGTATTTATTTGCGTGCAGAAATATTTCATTTATTCTTCAAACTAGCAGATTATTTATGAACCCCTGACTGTGATATTTGTCCCACTTTCACATATCTGAGTACATTGCACTAAACACTCTTTTAAGTTGTCACTAACCTGGGTCACGAGCACAAAGAGTGGTGTCTGCACAAATTCCCTCAGGTCAGGGAGAAAGCTGTGTTTTGAGGACCTTCTTAGCAGCCTTTGCCTCACTGGCCTTTGACCCCGGCCAGCCCTCTTTAGTGAAGGAGCATAATCCACCTAACATGGATTTAAACAAACAGTGTAATCCATAACACTCAGCCAGTGCACACCATCTCCTCCAGGTTATGAGCCCTGCATGCTGCTGTTACTTTGAATAGGTTT